ACTTACAAACCCGAGAGGCTGTGCTGGGGGTGATAGGGGGATCAGGTTGACGATGAGGTTGGAGGTAACGGTATTTATGTAGTAGCACCTCAAACCACAAGTGGTTGTCTTGGGTGAGGAAGCGCCACCACCACTTCCCATAAAGGGCCAAATTATTGAATCTGAGATTGCGAATGCCCAGGCCCCCATAGTGTCTCGGTTGACATACCCTCTCCCACAAGATAAGGTGAAATTTGTTTTCCCCACCCTCGCCAGACCAAAGAAAATTCCGCATAAGCTGTTCAACGTGCAGGCAACTGAAAAGGGAACATCTGGTGGATAGGGATGTTAGAGACGGTAGCCTTGATTAGAGTTTGTCTACCTGCAGGGGATAGAAATCGGCCTTTCCATCCAGCCAACTTCCTATCAAACTTGTCCACTATGTGATTCCATTGCAGTTTGTAGGGAATCCTGGACACGGGGGAGGCCGAGGTAGGTTGATGATATATTCTCAACTTGACATCCACAACGATCCACAAATTAAGAGATCAATGGTGCCTCGGCACCGACCCCGATCATCTTGGATTTTGCCATGTTTACTTTAAATCCATGGCCCATTGGAAGCGCTTAAGAAAACATAAGAGAGAATCAACTTGCTGAGGGGTGGCTCGACAGAAAAGAAGGGTATCATTGGCATATTGGAGAGGTGCAAAATGGCAGGGCCCCACGGTTCCAATCTTGAAGCCTTCCAGTAGAACATCCTATCTAGGGACCTGCTGAACACCTCTACCACCACCGAGAATAGGAAAGGGGAGAGAGGATCCTCTTGCAAAAGGCCTCTAGAGGAGAGGATGAAGCCTTTAGGGGATCCACAAATGAGCACTGAGACACAAATGCAGCCACTTATCCATTTCCTCCAACGGGTACCAAACCCATTATGTGTAATGTTTCGTTGAAGAGGAGCCAATCCACACGATCTGCCTTCTCCCAATCCACCTTAATGTCCAGACCCGGGATTCTGGCTACAAGCCTGGAATGTATACTTTCATTGGCCACCAGGGCACCGTCAAGAATCAGTCTATCTTTGACGAATGCCCCTTGTTGTGGGGAGATGACCCAATGTAGAACTTCACAAAGGCAAGTCGCAACAACCTGGAGAGGATTATATAAGAATTTTTAATAAGTCTCATAGGTCCAAATCTTTAAGTTCCTCAGCTTCTCCTTTTTTTCGAAACTCATTGCCCCGTGGATTACTCCTCTCGAGTGGAATTCCAGAAAGAAAGCCAGGATATCAGGGCACACTGTTGTACAAAAGTTTTGAACAAAACTATGGGGAAGCCGTTGGGACCAGGGGCCCTGTCTTGGCCCAGGTTGTTAACGGCTTTGAGGATCTTGTCCTCAGAGATAGGATCTTCGAGCCAGGCTGCTGTCACTAGGGGGATCGTCCTGAAAGAGAGGTCGGCCATCTTGGGTTTGGGGGCTGAAGGAAAGGAGAAAAGGCTGCTGAAAACTCAATGATGACCCTTTCAACTTGAGGGGGTGTTGTCGGCTAAGGTATTCTCAATCTTAATCTGGGTAATCATGTTGCCTCGCCTGCAGCAGTTGGCAATCTTGTGGAAACCATTTAATTCTCGATCGTTGAAACCAGAAAATTTCCTCCTTACAGAGGAGCAACTGGTACTCGATTTAAGCTTGGGTGTGAGAGTCTCTCTCCCCAGGGGATAGGGGCCTGGTTTCTTCAATCCTATCCCAGCTCAGTAGCACGAAGCTGTGGTTCTTTGAGGTCATGGAAATTTCCAGGTATCTGTCTGCTCCATGTTTTCAAGGAGGCCTTGAGGAGTTTCCGTTGTAGCTGGAACCCAGCCCAGCCATGGACTTGAGAAGTGACACCACATAGGTACTAGAGAAAGGAAATTAGATTCTTCAAGCCATGAAAGTTGAAACTGATATGGCTTGGGGGCTCAGAAGGCGTGATTAGTGTCCAGCAACAGGGGTCTGTGGTCAGAAGTGGGCTTCAGAAGGGCTAGGACGTTCAAACCAGGAAAAGTAGCTTCCCATTCCAGACTGATAAGGAACCAATCGAGCTTAGAAAGGGGGGTGGGGGTTGCTGAGTGGTCCAACCATGTGAATTCTGCTCTTTGGGGGGAGGTGAGGTTGTGTCTAGAAAGACAAAATTTGAAAAAATTAGCATACAACGAGAGATGCTAGGTTCCGAATTCCTTTCAAAGGACCATCTGGTCACGTTCAAATCAACGGCAAGGCGCCAAATGGGGGATGAAGATGCAGCAATGCCGTTAAGCTCCTCCCAGAAACTGTCTCCTAAGGGAAATTAAGTTGGGTCCATCTCCTGCTGTAAACTTCCAAGAAAGGCCATCAAAAACCCTGTTGCGAGCAATCGTGACCGAGAAGGTGGCCAAGGCAGAGGAGAGAGAGTGGAGGGACGGGTCCCATACGGCCCAGCTACCACCAAAAGCCCCATGGGCTTCGTGAGCTTCCCACTTGCAAGGTCTCGACCCCAAAGACCTATCAAATCAATTAGAGGTTGGGGGTGAAGAGCTTGTTTTTGACCAACACCAATAAGGAAGGTCTATGTTTGGAGAAAAAGCATGGACACGTCGTTTTCTGTCAAGGTGTCCGAGAACCCGAATATTCATGGAAGAGGGGGTCGAATCTAGGGGATTGCCGGGGTGGAAGGTTTTGCAATAGGGGAGATACCCGATGAAGAAGAAGGGGAAAGAGGAGGGGTTGGAAGGAAATATGTCACTAGCAAGAAGGATGATAAGGTTGGGGATAGAGGGGGGAATGGATGGAAGGATGTAAGGAAGGAGAGGACCAAACTGTTGAAATGTTGGATACAGGGAAGCATGGAGAATTGGGGGTAGGGAGGGGAGAAGAGGGGCAGAGGTGGCTAGGTTTCAGGAAGGAGCGGGGATTTGGCGTCGAAGGAGGTGAACACAGAAGTGGTAAAGAGGAGGTAGGAGGGAACCGAAGGAGCCGCCGGACAGAGCAATTTTCTTCTCCCTGGACCACAAGGTCACCAATGTTTCAAAATTTATATACGAAACAAAAGTAGTGCCAGATTGAGGATGGCCTAGAAAAAAACACTGCTGATCAGCATATTCTGTGGATATCCAATTCTTATCCCTATTGTAAAGAAAACTACCAATATTAAGGCGAACTGCAATATTTTGAAATGTTACATGTTCCTTTATTGAAGTCCATAGGCCCAACCAGATAGACTTATGTGGAGAAGAGGCAATGAGAGATGAGTTTCATCTGATTAGGAGGGAGGATGTTAGGAGGATAGAGATCCAAGGAGGTAACGTTTTGCAGCCAAGGTCCATGAACAAGGTCTTCTAGTTATACACAAAAGGTATGTGCATTTTGTACCTTTTGGGAAAGAATTTGAAGCCCTTTGGCAGGATCACATAAGCGAAATATGGTTGCCAAAGTAATGGAACTTGCAGATCCAAGAATGTATGGCAAGACTTTGGGCAGTGGAGAGAGATCTACTATATAAGGGGCACATCAGAAGAGAAGGAATAAATTGAAGATACATGATGAGAAAAAAGTTAGTCGTCAGTGAATGTCTACTGGCATTAAGGCCACTGGGAAAAAGAGAGGTGCACCTGGAACTCCTATCGAGGCTATCTCTAATTATGACTGCAACCCAAATGCCAAGGACCCCATAGAAGCTATTATCATAAATCCAGCTTTCCACACCAAATACTAGGTCTAGCATAGAACAACTGGTAAACAACTTGCATTCATAAACCAAGTTTTCTGCCCAACACCTTCTAGTCATTCCATGATCAAGTGACCCCCAACCAGAACATTCCACATACTAGAGCAATATGAGATGAGTTATTATCTTACTAAATCTCAAGTAAAACCATTCATCTCAAAATCACTGTCTGCAAGCTCCATAATTATTGAGAAGAGTACATTCTCGAACACATAATGGGCGGTTGGGAAGCTTGACTTAGACCATGAATTTCTTTTCATGTGAAATGGAAATAGAATATGCTGAATTACTTCACATGTAAAAATCCTTTGAAGATATTCATGCATTTCAGGTGAAATTGTCAATAGGAATTGCCAACATATGATGCCCTGAGGTCTCTTAAAAAACATCTGATACTTTCAGTACACAAAAAAGAATTAAAAATAAATAAATAATAATAATAATAATAATAATAATAATATGATGCCATGAGAATTACGAATACGGGGATGGATACGCAAAGTGAGAATATGACTACACATCCCTCAACATCCAGTTACAGATATAGATAGAAGTATTCCATCTGACACAACAGTAGATATATATATATATATATATTTTAGATTGTGTAATACATAAATATCTGCATCCAATACAACTTTGAATAGATATCCTATCATAATGGCTAAATATTATATTTTATACATAGTACATGCTTTACAATTACTATTTATATTTACAAAATTACAAGCATCCTAGAAGTATCAGGTATCAGCAAAGGTGCCAAATGGGTGTGACATTGCGACGTTAAGCCGTACAAGTATACATGCATCATAGCTGGCCAGTATTCTGTAAATTTATAAATATTTATGTTTACAAATATTTCTCACAAAATGCACCACAAGGCACAGCTGAATCTGTTCTGCTTAATCCTAGGGGACATTATAGTCAAATACAATTGGAGGCTTACTTAATGTTTGAAAATTTTTCAAAAAATTATAGCCAAAGGGCTTACTTTTTGAAATCTTTATAGTAAGTCCTCTAGATACAACTCAAAAAATTAGCAATGTTATAGCCAAGGGCATCACAATAACCGGCTCGATAAAACCTCCATAGCCAATACACAACAAGAATAACAGTACCAAACGTCTAATCAGTTTGGATGATGTTGCTAGATATTGTGTGGCAGAATCCCAAGAAGCAACACACTATCAAAAGCAGAAGTTGCCCCTTCAGTTAATGTGAAATAAATACTTGCTTAAAACCCCAACAACATCATCTCATTTTCCACATTAAGTAGAGAAAAGAAAACAAGATCCAATAATTAATGCAGTTTATCTCAGTGACTACGTAAGTCCCCATAAAAGGTGCAAATTTCCTGAAAGATGCATCAAGCATAAATGTTCAGAAACAAGCAGAATGAATAACAACACATCTATCTCATAGTGTAACTTCCATGTTCCATCAACCAAAAGTTGAAACATAAGGTTTAGAAAATATTATCTCCAAAAATATAGGATAAAATCGATTTGTACGGCTGGTTCTGTACACAAGAAGGTATGCCCAATTTAAGTCCCTCGAACCCCATCAACATCCAAAGGATGCTAAAGAAGTCAACTCGTATATATTATGCCAGGATGTGATGAAGATCTCATGAAGCCTTCCTTCGTGTGCGCCAGGTATCAAGTGTGCATCCCCTCCATCAACTATGGATACAATTCATGCAGTGAAGAGTTAGAAGCAAAGAAAAGGATTAATTGACTCATCATTAAAAAGGAATATATTGGATGGTAATACAATATCAAATTATCAATAAAGAGGCCTATGACAGATGTTAATAAATTTAAATATTAGGTTTAAGCAAGGAGAAAAAGTCTTTTGAAACTTCCAGAAGAAATTAAGCCAATGAAAATAAGAAAAGCAGCAAAAAGACTATATCAGGAAGACAGGAACTAACCCAAAACCCCAAAAATCCATTTTATTTAACAAGTAAATACCCCACAACTCACTAATCATCAAACCATGCATATTCTAACATGGAAATACAATGAGGAAAAGAGCCATACAGCCCATCCACAAGATTTACTATTGAGAACCCATCCAATAACAAGTTACCCATCGATACTTAACTGTGTTTTGCACTTGCATAAGTTATATAGAGAAAAATATAAAGTTACCACTCAAGAAAGATAATTATGCTAATAAAATTAAGGAAGAGTCAGTAAAACCAGACCTGGAGCTAAACCCAAAAACCCGCAAATTACCGAGCCACTTCAAATTGTTGAAGCAAGTCACAATGTGGGGTCTGATAAGAAAGGCCCCACTGTTGCCTCTGCAACTCAGTCCTGCAATTTGCACCAAGTATCGAAAAGTATTCTCTTTGCACCCTCTCTTCGAGGGTCGCCCTCTCCACACTCCCCTCAGGATACACCTGATCAAAATTCTCAGCTTTTACAAAATAAGGAACCCCTCTCTCTGTTATCTTCTTGTGCTCAAACCCATATGTTCGATTAAGTGAATAAGGTGGTTCAGAGCTCGGAAAATAATTCAACAATAACAAGAGAATGACCGGTAGAATTTGTACAAGAGTTCGAAGATTGAAACCCGATGAACCATTGGTTTCAGTATGGTGGTGATGGAAACCAGGTCCCATACCTGCCCTAAACCTGAATGGGCCAAATGGTGTGGCTGCTTGATTCATTCCAAAAAAGAAATTTCTGAAAATCTCATCAGCATCGATATCTGCTTCATAAAAATTGTTGTAGTTTTGAGCTCTAGGTCTCTCGTAAATGGATTCCTCACCCCCCATCAAATCATAGTTCTTTTTTCTCTCCTCATCACTTAGACATTGAAAGGCTTTTGAAACTGATTTGAAGGCTTCCTCTGCACCTGGAGCCTTGTTCTTATCTGGATGGACTTTCAGAGAGAGCTTTCGGTAGGCTTTTCGAACATCTTCAACAGAGCAACCCTTCTCCAAACCCAGAATTTGGTAATAATCCTTCTTGCTCTTAATCTGCCTAACAATGGTGACCTGTTCTTCTGTATAGGACTGAGATGAAACCTTTGAAGTTTGAGGAGCATGATTGGAATTTGAAGAAGTGGATGGAGACGTGGAGCTGGAATTTGCAGAATCAGGAGGGGGCTGATCACAACTTTCATCGAGGGTAGAGAGGAGATCATCAATGGGGAGAGAGGGATCAAGGCGACGGGCTTTTGTGAGGAATTTGAAGGCGCGAGCCTTGTCGCCAGAATCTAGGGCCTCTTTTCCAATCTTCAAGCATTTCAGGGCTGCATCTTTGTTTCCATCCATGGCTAGAGGATCAAAGACAGCAAACGAGAGCAATATACAGACAAAATTCAGAGAATTAATCCTTGAACGTCTAAAGAAACCCTAAATTTATAGCAGATGAAACCGAAAGAGGGGAGAATAACCCCACTTTAATTGCTCATAAACATGAGAGAGACGAAAGAAGAGAGAGAGTGGGCGTATGTTACCGGGGAGGAATGAGAGATCTGATAATGCAGACCCCTGATCGACCTTAAATTCAGAAACTGCGATCTACGTTCAATACAGAAAATAGAGTTAATGGCTAAGAAATTAGGGTTTCGTAATAGGAAATTAGGGTTTCGTGATGGGAAATTGGGGCTGGGAGACCCTGCGATGAGGGTGGTGAGCACAAGGGTCTGTGCAAAGTGCAAACCCTTGTGGTGAGGAAGAGGGACGAAGACGAGACCCCTCTATCTTTTAAAGGTATCATCATAATCCCGTTTGCCATTGCGTAAAAACTTGTGGACCTATCATAAATAACGTAAATACCCTTCTATGCGTTCTTGCAGGCGGGTGGAAATTTCGAGAATGGTGAAGATGAATATGAATAAATACCCATAAATAAACTTTTTAAATCTTAAAATGTATTTATCTTTGAATTTTTTTTTTGGGAAAAGTTTATGTAAAGCCAAGGCTCAAAACAATCAAATTCGAGCCTACCTCAAAAATTTCACTAGAAGAGATTGTTTTGATGCTCAAATTCATCATCTCGATATCAAGATGCATTGACATGAGAAAAAATGGATTTCAAGTTTTGGAAATAGTGTATTTTGTAACTCAATTTTCAAGTTTTCATATATCTCTCAATCTACACTATTTTTTAAGCTTTAAACTTTATAAACAAAGATGAAAAATATATTTTAAGGTTATCAAAAACATTTCCAGTATTGAAACCATATTTCTCGATACTATTTGAAGATAGGCCTAGGCTACATACAAACCACACCCTTTGTTTTTTTCTTCCTTTTTTGCACCATCTATATGATATTTTGGTATGGTATCCTTTACACAACGTCTATCTTTATAGATGGACATTTGTTAATTAGGAGGCTCCAATGTCCATTGACTAACTATTCAAAAGAACACGGTTTTCATGTGGCCAGCATATTGTAGAGGGAAAATTGCTGAAAACGCTTAAAAATATACTTTCTAGACACTCTACCCTACCCTAAATTTCTCTCACTTATTTTTCTCAAAAACTAAATTTCTCTCACTTATTTTTCTCAAAAACTATCTTTTCTAACTAATACCCCCAACTCAAAAGTTACATTTTTTTGACAAAAATACCCCTTTCACGTACCTTCATCGTATGAACAAATCATTTGGACGGATCCCAATAATACTTTCGTCGGACCGCGGTTATTATTTTCCAAACTTATGACATATGTCAGACTGCATTTCTACAATACCAAACTGCTTATTTAGACAATGATACGCCAGACCACCTTACTCTTGTATCTAAAACGTCGGACCGAGACCATGAAATGCCGGACTTACGTCTCCAGTAACAAAATCACCAGAGCAAAGCTCCATAACACCGGACTGCAAGTAAGATATTGCCAAACTGCATCCTCCTAGTGCTGGATAGATCGACCCTAACGCCGGAGCACAGATGTGAAACGCGGGACTTAACATCATTCCAGAACCACACGCGCGGACTGCACATTGCAAATGCCGGACTTACCCCACTCTAGTAAGGAATCGCCGGACTAAGACAACGGAATGTCGAACTGTTTGACGACATTGTCGGATTGCTCCAATATAATGCTGGACTGACCTTGCCTGAGAAACGTTTGCCGGACTGTAGCAATGACTGTGCCGAAGTGCCAATGATTCTAGGAAGAAAATCACCAGATCGTTGTGGTGAATTACCGGACTGCAAATTTTTCTAGGAATAAAACTGCTAATCCGTTGTTCTGTACTTGCCGGAGTGCTCATGAATCCAATGACACTTTCGTCGGACCAAGGTAGTGAAGGAAGCCGAGTGCTGGAGTGTTGTTCATGAAGTGTTGGAGTGCCAATGATTCTAGGAAGCAAATCGCCGGACTGCAAATTGTTCTAGGAAGCAAACTGTCGGTCCGCTATTCTGTACTTGTCGGAGAGCTCATGAATCTAGTGACACTTTCGTCGGACCGAGTTAGTGAAGTGCCGGATTGGCCCTTTATCCAAGAAGCCAAGTGTCGGAGTGCTGTTCATGAAGTGTCGGAGCCCCTTCTTCATGTGCTGGAGCGAGTTCTATAAGTGTCGGACTGCTTTGAAGAACATGATATGAACATGTAACTACTTATGCAATGATTTTTTCCAATGGATTGGCCTATGCAGTTCTGAGGATTAGAGCTCCATTGAATGAGCTCAGGGCTCGAATTGCTCAGTTTAGGGCGAGCATTGAGGCTTCTTTCACTGCCCCGGGATGGGTTGTAGAAGAGGGCTGATGTTGCAACTTCGAGGGAGGTTCTCAAGCGCCTGCTTGATACATTTCATATTGTCTCCAAGGTAGGTTTTATGGTTGCTTTTTTCATTTATGTTTCTCTACTATTGTCATTATTTGTTGGCTTTGGTATGAGACAACTGCGAATCGAATTGAATTTGAGTTGTTCTTGGATAGTAAATGGGTGTTCATGGATCAATTCTTTTGACTGGTGATAAATCCTAGGTTCATAGATCTCCATGAATTAGCCATGTGTATGAGAGTATGAATATAGAGAACATACCTATATAATCAACAATTTCTAGTGTAGATAAGCTTTTCATTTAATAAGGTAGTCTTTGAATTAGTTGTTGTAATTTGAATTATTTGTGTATCAAAGTAAACCTGATGCATGTTGAAGACTTTGGTGACTTTAGTTAAGGTTAATGCATGTTGGCTATTTGAGGCTAGTGTGGGTTAGTCAGTTGGACCCTATGCAAATCAGCATTTGAGATCGATGCTTATTATCGATTTGAAGCTAAAAAGATCTATGTGAGTCAGGCGATCAAAGGGGATATGGATTGTAAGTCAAGGCTGACACATATCTGTTGATTGAGGTGATGAGGGTTGACATGTAAAAACAATGCATATTGATGAGTTGACAATGATGTAGATCAATTACTTGAGGCCAAGGCAAGCTGGTGATTGAACCCTATGTGGTTCTCATGCCATACGTGGTGTAGGCTTGTTAAAGTTGGTATAAGTTTGTGATCTTGTTTTTATCCATGGCAACCAAGGCATTATTCTTGGGTGGGGAACACAAGTAATAATTTGAAAATCATACTTACTTGTAGTGAAATTATTTGTGATGCTTCTTTGAAAATTAAATTTCAATCTTAACAATATATGGTAAGAAATGCATTAGACAAGTAGCAATAAGAAAATCTTATTAAAAATATACATTGTACGTATCAAATTAGGGAAATACATAATGAACGGTTAAAACAGGTTGTCATGTGCTTTCCCAACATCAATATTACTAAACAGGAGAAGTAGCAGTACCACAGTTTATCGAACAAGGTTCCCAACTTTCAGGCTACTAATTGTCACTTTCTCCCAGAATCTAGGAAAGGAACTGAGATAGAAATTGAGAGACAAAGAGAGGGAGAGTACTGGTTGAGGGCGGTTGGGCTTTTGCTGGTGCGAGCAAGGAGGAAGGAACATCGAGTGGCTTCAAAGTGAGCAAGAGAAGAGAGCCACAATTTTTGTTGGGGTTTAACTTTTCGTGAAAGTTGCAGACCTTGGGTTAACAAGTCGGCCGCTTTATCCAAGAGAATAGTGCTTTGGGGAAAATGTAAGTTATGACTTTCTCCTAATTCATTGTTCCCATACTAGGGAAAGCTACAGTATAGGAGAAAGTTGGGGACTTTCCCACCCATTCACCGTTATCAGATGCTCCCTTAGTGATGATCGAATGATATGAGTAAACATCAATTATTTACTTTAGAAATGTCAAACTAGAAGAGAGCACTAGAGACAAAGGTGAAGAGTTAAATATTTGAAAGGCAGAGATCTTAATGCCGAATTCTTGATTGCTATTGTTAGTTCGAGAAGAAGAATGAATAGTCTAGCTGGAGATTCTAGGGTGGAAGAAGACGGTTAGAAAGTGTTGACATATATGGCTATGAGGCCTTACATGTTTTAGCCTACATTTGTGGGAATCAAATATATCCAACGGTCATATGGTCCAACGTCCATATGAACGTAATCCCTCGTTTTCTCACACACCCGTTGGAGATCAGGGAACCCCTTTGTTTCTCAAAAACCCCGTTGGAAAAATACAATGGTTACCCCTTATTCTCCCTATAAAATGGGAAGCTAGAGAGATGATGAATATAACAATAAATAGGCGTACATCTGTCTAAAAGGCGAAGGGATAAAAATCTGGGCTCCGCGATCGCCAACCTCACGGCACCCTTTCTCTGATCTCGAGTTTGATCTTATACACACTTCATCAAATTTTGCTAACAATGGTATCAGAGCCACCAGGTTCCATCTACCCTATTTTTACACTGAATTTTAACGATAGAGCTTATGTGATTTGTTTGTTACAATATATGCCCAATTTTTATGCATAAATTGTGCTTCAAAAAATCACCTGCTGCTATCATATCTTGGTTTGCCCAATTTTTGTGTATAAATTGTCCTTCAAAATATCACCTGCTGCTATCTTATCTTAGTGCATTATCTTGATTCACAGTGTTAATTAATTAAAGGATAACTATGCATGCACTCCTTTTGTATTGATCAATTTCAAATCACCTCTATACTATTTTTTATGGGTTTAGTTTAGTTTTTGAATTTTAAGGGTGATTTGGCTCCGGTTACAGTCATGTTGTTTGCTTTATCTGATAAGTTGTGATATGGATACATCATACTATGTGATATGAGTTGACTATCGAATTTTTTTTCGAGCAAACTAGTCTCATTCGCTGCAATTGAAGGGAATTAAGCGAAAGAGAAAGTTGTTGGGTTCCCAAGTGGTACCTATCATGCCACTTGGCTTGAAAGATGCGTCCCTATCACGTGCCCCTTGGTTAGAGAGAGAACTATAGGGAGACAGGGGAAGAAAGGGAAGAGGAGGGAAGAAAGACAACATCTCCACTATTTTCTCCACAATCAAGCTTAGGAACTCGTGTACGATTGCAACTGCTCGTTTCTCCAATCTTGTGATTGCAGCCTTTGATTTTCTCTTATTCCATCTCTTGTTAACTCTAATTTCACTGATGTCTCCATATGATCCCCAATAAGGAAGTTTTTGCCATTCTCTAACCCTAGCCCTAAATTCTTTGCTCAGTTTCATACCAGGTGGTAACCCATGCTTGAAACCAAACCTAATCTCTTATTCATCCATAGAATTCTCTGCTTCAGGAGTATAATTCAACTCCATATCAATCAGTTTCAGAATATGAGTATTAGGTTCATGGGCATCAATCAGAGAGAAAATTGTAGGGTTCTTTGCTATAA